GGGGTCTCCAGGCTGGGGGGTCTCCAGGCTGGGGGGGTCTCCAGGCTGGGGGGTCTCTAGTCTGGGGGGTCTCCGGGCTGGGGGTCTCCGGGCTGGGGGTCTCCCCCCCTCACCTCCACTGCGCCCCGGGCCGGCCCTCCCTGCGGATCTCGGCCATCACCATGTTCAGGTCCAGCTCCTTGATCTTCTCTTCCACCACGTTCTCTGGCATCAGATCTGGGGCAGAGCCACGGGGGGTGGGTCCTGCAGCCCCTGTCCCCCTCCCCAGGCTCTGCACACGGAATCACGGTGTGGTTTGTGTGGGAGGGACCTCACATCCCACCCAGTGCCACCCTGCCATGGCAGGGACACCTCCCACTGTGCCAGGTGCTCCAGCCCCATCCAGCCTGGCCTTGGGCACTGCCAGGGCTCCAGGGGCAGCCACAGCTGCTCTGGGCACCTGTGCCAGGGCCTCACCCCCCTCCCAGCCAGGAATTCCTTCCAAAATCCCACCTAACCCCGCCCTCTGGCAGTGGGAGCCATTCCCCCTTTCCTGTCCCTCCATCCCTTGTCCAAGTCCCTCTGCAGCTCGCGTGGAGCCCCTTCAGGTCCTGCCAGGGGCTCTGAGCTCTCCCTGGAGCCTTCTCCTCTCCAGGCTGAGCATTCCCAGCTCTCCCAGCCTGGCTGAGCATTCCCAACTCTCTCTCCTCCATGCTGAGCATTCCCAGCTCTCCCAGCCCGGCTCTCTCCTCCAGGCTGACCATTCCCAGCTCTCCCCTCCAGGCTGAGCACTCCCAGCTCTCCCAGCCCAGCTCTCCCAGCCCGGCTCAGCATTCCCAGCTCTCCCAGCCTGGCTGTCTCCTCCAGGCTGACCATTCCCAGCTCTCCCCTCCATGCTGAGCATTCCCAGCTCTCCCAGCCCAGCTCTCCCAGCCCAGCTCAGCATTCCCAGCTCTCCCCTCCACGCTGAGCATTCCCGGTTCTCCCAGCCCGGCTCTCCCCTCCAGGCTGAGCATTCCCAGCTCTCCCAGCCTGGCTGAGCACTCTCAGCTCTCCCAGCCTGGCTGTCTCTGTCTCCTCCATGCTGAGCATTCCCAGCTCTCCCAGCCCGGCTCAGCATTCCCAGCTCTCCCAGCCCGGCTCAGCATTCCCGGCTCTCCCCTCCACGCTGAGCATTCCCAGCTCCCGGGGTTTCCCGGGCTGGGCTGAGCCCGGCACTCACACTGGTGGTTGATGAAGCAGTGGGCTGCCAGCAGCTTCAGCGAGTGCACCTCGAAGAGCACGCGGTGGAACAGGAGGCTGTTGGCGCTGGGGCGCCGGTCGGGGTTCAGGGTCAGGCAGGACAGGATGAACTCCTGGGGCACAGCAGGGCCATGAGCTGGGGCGGGCAGGCCTTGCCCTGCTGCTCCCACAGGGATCTGGGGATCACGGGCTGGAACAGAGCTCCCAGCCCAGGGAGCTGCCCCGTGCCCCCTCCCCAGCCCATTCCATCCCTGGGCACCTCCAGGGATGGGCACTCCAAACCTCCCCGGGCACCTCTAGGGCCTGATCCCCCTTTCCATGGGGAAATTCCTGCTGCTGTCCACCCTGAGCTCCCCTGGCCCAGCCTGAGGCCATTCCTCTCCTCCTGTCCCTGTTCCCTGGGATCAGATCCCAAATCCCCCCCGGCTGTCCCCTTCTGGCAGGAGCTGTGCAGAGCCCCAGGGTCCCCCTGAGCCTCCTTTTCTCCAGGCTGAGCCCCCTCCCAGCTCCCCCAGCTGCTCCAGACCTTTCCCCAGCTCTCATCCCTTCCCTGGACACGCTCCAGCCCCTCAGTGTCCTCCCCTGGGGACCCCAGACCTGCCCCAGGACTGGAGGTGCCCTGGCAGTGCCAGCACAGGGGTCACTGCCCTAGGCCTGGGCTCGCCCTGATTTTGATCCCATTTCCCAGGAAATGGACCCAAAGGGCTCGTGCTGCAGCAGGAGCAGTGACACAGGACAGGGACTGTCCCCAGCAGTGACACAGGACAGGGATTGTCCCCAGCAGTGACACAGGACTGTCCCCAGCAGGCTCCCCCTGCTGCCCTCACCCTCATGTTGGGGTCATCCAGGGAGTGCCGCGCCCGCGCGATCGCCTCCTCTGACACCCGCGTGTCCCCGTTGGTCTGGATCTCCAGCACGGCCATCTGCGAGGGGACAGGGACACGGCCAGTCTGTGGGGCTTCCAGGGACAGGGACAGGGACAGGGACACGGCCAGTGCGTGGGGCTTCCAGGGACAGGGACAGGGACACCGCCAGTGAGGACAGGGATTGTTCCCAGCAGTGACACAGGACAGGGACTGTCCCCAGCAGTGACACAGGACTGTCCCCAGCAGTGACACAGGACAGGGATTGTCCCCAGCAGTGACACAGGACTGTCCCCAGCAGGCTCCCCCTGCTGCCCTCACCCTCATGTTGGGGTCATCCAGGGAGTGCCGCGCCCGCGCGATCGCCTCCTCTGACACCCGCGTGTCCCCGTTGGTCTGGATCTCCAGCACGGCCATCTGCGAGGGGACAGGGACACGGCCAGTCTGTGGGGCTTCCAGGGACAGGGACAGGGACAGGGACACGGCCAGTGCGTGGGGCTTCCAGGGACAGGGACAGGGACACCGCCAGTGCGTGGGGCTTCCAGGGACAGGGACAGGGACACGGCCAGTGAGTGGGGCTTCCAGGGACAGGGACAGGGACACGGCCAGTGTGTGGGGCTTCCAGGGACAGGGACAGGGACAGGGACACCGCCAGTCCGCGGGGCTTCCAGGGACAGGGACACTGCCAGTCCGCGGGGCTTCCAGGTGACATGGCCAGACTGTGGGGCTTCCAGGGACAGGGACAGGGGACAGCCCTGGACAAAGGATGGCCCTGGATAGGGGACACCCTCAGGCAGGGCAGGGACAAGACACGACCTGGACAGGGCAGGAACAGGGGACATGGCCAGTCCGTGGGGGCTTCCAGGGGACAGCGCAGGGACAGGAGACAGCCCCAGGTAGGGCAGGGACAGGGACAGGGACAGGGGACAAGGGACACCCCCAGGTAGGGCAGGGACAGGGACAGGGACAGGGGACACCCCCAGGTAGGGCAGGGACAGGAGACAGCCCCGGACAGTGACACCTCCCGGCAGGGTCCCACCGTTCCCAGGGTCCCCCCGCACCTCCAGGGCGCACATCCCGAAAGGGGACAAGGGACATCCCCAGGTGGGCATGGGACAGGGACAGGGGACACCCCCAGGTAGGGCAGGGACAGGAGACAGCCCCAGGTAGGGCAGGGACAGGGACAGGGACAGGGGACACCCCCAGAAAGGGGACACCCCTAGACAGGGCAGGGACAGGGGACAGCCCCGGACAGAGCAGGGACAGGGGACAGCCCCGGACAGTGACACCTCCCGGCAGGGTCCCACCGTTCCCAGGGTCCCCCCGCACCTCCAGGGCGCACATCCCGAAGGAGAAGATGTCCACGGCTGTGCCATCGGCCTTCTCTGCAGCACGAGAGGGACACGGGGCAGGGTCAGGGCTGGAGCGCACCTGGGCACCCACCTGGGCACCCCTGGGACAGCCCAACCTGGGCACACCCACCTGGACAGCCCCACCTGGGCACACCCACCTGGACACACCCACCTGGACACCCCTGGGACAGCCCCACCTGGACACACCCACCTGGACACCCCTGGGACAGCCCCACCTGGGCACCCTCACCTGGACACCTCCAGCTGGCATCCCCCCCTGGGCACACCCACCTAGACACACCCACCTGGGTACCCCTGGGACAGCCCCACCTGGACAGCCCCACCTGGACAGCCCCACCTGGACACACCCACCTGGACACACCCCCCTGAACACCCTCACCTGGACAGCCCCGGGGCACCCCACTCTGTCCCCGTGGATACCCACCCCTGCCCTCCCCTGTTCTCACCTGTGTCCCCTGCCCTCCCCTGCCGGCCACCACTGCTCAGCCCCCGTACCCGTTCCCGTCCCCATTCCCTGTGCATTTCCATGCCCGTTCCCACACCCATTCTGGACAGCCCCACCTGGACACACCCACCTGGACACACCCCCCTGAACACCCTCACCTGGACAGCCCCGGGGCACCCCACTCTGTCCCCGTGGATACCCACCCCTGCCCTCCCCTGTTCTCACCTGTGTCCCCTGCCCTCCCCTGCCGGCCACCACTGCTCAGCCCCCGTACCCGTTCCCGTCCCCATTCCCTGTGCATTTCCATGCCCGTTCCCACACCCATTCCCATTCCCGTCCCTGTGCCTGTTCCTGTTCCCATTCATGTTCCCATTTCCATTCCTGTGCCCATTCCCATTCCCGTGCCCATTCCCATTCCTGTGCCCATTCACGTGCCCGTTCCCATTCCCCTTCCCATTCTCATTTCTGTGCCCATTCTCATTCCCGTTCCCATCCCCATTCCCTCCGGGGCAGGGACACCCGGGACAGGGACCACCTGTGACAGAGCCCACTCAGGACAGTGCCCACCCGGGACAGTGCCCACCCATGAGGTCTGTGAGTGCCCACCCCGGGGGTCTGAGGGGGGATCTGTGCCCCTGCCCACCCCCCTCTGCTCCCACCCAGCAGCAGCCGCTCCCAGGGGATGGGGGTGTGGGGGTGCCCCCTCCCCACAGCGCCCAGGCCGTGCCCGTGCCCGGTGCCCCCCGGTGGGGCTGGGGGCTGCAGGGGTGTCCCCGGGGTGGGGGGTGGCCATGGGTCACTCACCGTTGGCAAACACCCGGTGCCAAACTGCCGGGGCGGGCATTGGGAGGGCACAGGGGAAGAAAAGGCGACGCCGAGGTTGGCACCCCAAAAAGGGACCCCGCAATCCTCGGGGCTCCTGCCTGCCCGGGATCCCCCCCACACCCTGTGTGACCCCCGCCCCTTCCTCCTGCCAACCCCCCCGGACCCCATGGGAACCCCTCAGACCCCTTGTCAGCTGGGACACGCTGGCACCCTGGCCAGGCCAGAGCTTCCCACCCCTTCCCACGGACAGGGACAGGGACACAGAGCCACCCTGCTGTGCCCCGCTTGGTCCCAGACCCTCCCTGAGACAGGGATGGGACAGGGACAGGGATGGGACAGGGACAGGGACAGGGATGGGACAGGGATGGGACAGGGATGGGACAGGGATGGCACAGGGACAGGGATGGGACAGGGACAGGGATGGGACAGGGACAGGAACAGGGACAGGGACAGGGACAGGGATGGGACAGGGATGGGACAGGGATGGGACAGGGACAGGGATGGCACAGGGACCCAGAGCCACCCCCCGGGCACCGGGGTGTCCCCAGGAGCTCACCCGCGCGTTCATGGCCTTGTGGTTCTTCTTGGTCTTCTTGAGGAACTGCTTGAGGCTCCCCGAGGACACGTACTCAGTGATGAAGATCACCTGGGGGCACGGGGGGCTCAGCTCCCCCCAGCCCAGCCCCACAGGGGAGGGGGGCCGAGGGGCAGCGCTGGGACCCCCAGAGACCCCCAGAG